ACTATGCCTTGCGAGAAATCCACGAAGGGATCTGCGGGAATCACTCTGGAGGGGTTCCCTTGCCCACAAGGCGCTCAGACAGGGCTACTTCTGGCCTACCATGATGAGGGACGCTCAGGAGTTCTCCAAAAAGTGCGACAAGTGCCAACGCTTTGCCACTGTGCCAAGGCAACCACCCGAGGAGCTAACAACCATTTCAAGCCCATGGCCTTTCTCTAAGTGGGGCATCGATATCCTAGGCCCCTTGCCTCTCAGTAAAGGGCAGTGCAAGTTCGTGGTGGTGGCAGTCGACTACTTCACCAAGTGGTCAGAAGCAGAACCTTTAGCAAAAATCACAGACGCAAAGGTCAAAGATTTTATCTGGAAAAACTTGGTCTGTCGCTTCGGGATTCCCCATGCCATTGTCAGCGACAACGCCAAGCAGTTTGACAACAAGCTGCTGAACTCTTTCTGTTCTGACCTTCAAATAAAACAACCTCACTCCAGCCCGGCACATCCACAAGCAAATGGACAAGCAGAGGTCATGGTAAGAACCGTGCTACGCAATTTAAAAACAAGGCTCGAAAAAGCAAAGGGCCTTTGGGTAGAGGAGCTGCCAGGTGTACTGTGGGCTTATCGAACCACACCAAGAACCCCTACTGGGGAGACTCCTTTTTCCCTCGCCTTCGGAACCGAGGCGGTCATCCCTGTGGAAATAGGGGTACACTCCCTAAGGGTCCAGCACCACGATCCCATCACCAACGAGGAAGGACTCCGTAGCAACCTCGACTTGGTGGAGGAAGCAAGGGAGATGGCTGTAGTCCGCAACGCGGAATATAAACGGCGCATGACAAGGTACTACAATTCGAGGGTGAAGCCCCGTTCTTTCCAACCTGGGGATTTGGTCCTCAAAAAAGTAATCCTCGCTACAAAAGATGCACGCGAAGGGAAGCTGGGACCAAATTGGGAAGGGCCCTACCGCGTAACAGAAGTAGTGAGACCAGGCACCTACAAAATCCAAGATTCTGAGGGAAAAATTTTACTCCATCCATGGAATGCAGAGCACTTGAAAAGGTATTACCAATGACACCTTGAGAGCATCAAAACAGTAGAAATTGGGACTTGATTTGATTTTTAGCGGTGTTACCCAAGATTTCAATGTATTTTTTTTGGGAATTATTACCCAATATCGCTTTTTATAAGCAATAAATTAATAAAATTTTCTATGTCATTTACTCCAAAAAGATTTTCTGTATCGGTACAAAATAAGGCCAGATACCGCCTTTTCAAAAAAAAAAAAAAGAAAAAAAAAAAAATCAAAAGTCCTAAACACTCTAACTGCTCTCATGGTCGTCCCCCACCTCCTCCTCATTGTCATCAACATCATCAAATCCCCCCTCATCACTGTCGTCAGTGGGCACGAAAGGTGAGAAGTCAATATTAGGGAAAACGGTAGAAACTTTCCCTCGGAGATCCTCGAAACCATCAATAAAAGCATCTGCAAGACCGTTCTCCAAGTCTTCCTCAGCACGGGAAACTCTCTCCCTAGCAGCCTTCAACTTTGTCTCTGCAACAGCTGCCTCTCTGAGCATGGCCCTCCCATGGGCCTCTACAAGCTCAGCCTCTCTGAGCGTGCTCCTCTCGCGGACTGCCAAAAGCTCAGCCTCTAGCTTAGTGGCCCTCTCATAGGCTGCAACAAGCTCACCATCCCTGAGCGCGCTCCTCTCGTGGACTGCCAAAAGCTCAGCCTCTAGCTTAGTGGCCCTCTCATAGGCTGCAACAAGCTCACCATCCCTGAGCGCGCTCCTCTCGTGGACTGCCAAAAGCTCAGCCTCTAGCTTAGTGGCCCTCTCATGGGCTGCAGCAAGCTCACCATCCCTGAGCGCGTCCCTCTCGCGGGCCGCTAGAAGCTCGGACTCTAAATTAGAAAACCTTTCATGTGCTGCCACAAGCTCACCCTCCCGGAGCACGTCTCTCTCACGGGTCACCAAAAGCTCAGAATCAAGCTCGAAAATCCTCTCCTGAGCAGTAATAAGCTCCCTCTGCACAAGGCTAAGATCCAACTTCAGCTTGTCTTGATTATAGGCCCTCGAAAGCAAGCAGATGGAGGAAGTCGAAACCTAAAAAAAAAAAAACAAAGGAGTCAAAAACACAGGAAACGACTGGAGAAAGGGAAATAGCAGACCCTTACCTGAGCCAGACCTTCCAAATACGTGTTGACGATATTATCAGTGCCCGAAGCACTAAGCTCAGAAACTTCTGGCCCAAACACAAACCTCCCAAGCCTTGCCCTGATAGCTGCTGGTCTCCCCATCATAGAACCAGCCCAAATCGGCACTTGGGTAGAAGTTCCTGAACAAGGAGGAGACAAAGGAGGGGTAGCACGAGGAGAGGATAAAGGTGGAACAGATGTGCCTGGCAAGGAAGATTCTGGAGCAGCAGTTGGAGAAGTTGCTAGTTGAGAAGGAGCCACCGTGGAAGCCACATGGGGGGCATCATCCGTCCTTGTCACTTTGGAAGAAGGAGGGCTCCTGCTAGAAAAATGGGACACCACCACCCTCTTACTTGCTGCAAGAGTAGAGAAGGGTTAGATAAAAAAAAAAAAAAAAAAGAGGGAGAGGAAACTAGCTCACCCTTTTTCTTCGAAGAGGAGCTGCCAGATTTCTGAGATGGAGCTACAGCTCTAGTATACTTGGGCAGGAGAACTCCCAAATCTTTACAAGGGAAAGCTTTGACAGCCTCCAATTTCCACTCCTGGTCCCGGGAAAGCACAGGTGTATCTGCATAGAAAAAGTAAGCACACACAAAAAAAAAAAAAAAAAGGAAAAAAGAAGAAGTGTGCAGCATACCGGGCTTTTCAGCAGCACCCCAATGTGTTGGCACCGAAACTCTGTCGGCTTCTGAAGCCCATTCTCCACCAATAAAGAAGAAACAAGATTTTCAGCCGCCGCAATTAGAGCGCATCCCTGTAAGCACTGTACCACTCCGTGCGGTAAAATAGTACCATCCCCTATTTGGTGTAGGAGTTTCACTCAAATTATATGCTGCATGAAACTCCATAGGGGAAGCATCCTCGTGGTGCACCTTTCTCCATAAGGCAAGAAAACCGAGCAGGACTCTCCAACCGTTGGGCGCTAGTCGCCCCGGAGTCAAGGAGAAGTAATGCAAAACTCGACAAATGGGGGAGGACATGGGAAATCTTAAACCAGCCTCAAGCATCTCCTCGTAGACAACAATATCCCCGGAAGAGTCATCGCAAGCAAACTCGCCCAACTCAGCCCGACGGCACAACACGTTCGGAGGGATGCGATAAGTAAAAACAAGCCTTGAAATATCTTCATCTGAGCAGAACAAACTATGAAGGGTGCTCACCTTAGACCCGTCATCATCAGGTCCCACTTTGCTATTGCGTTTCTTCTTCCGGGGCCTTAAGGAGTAGTCCAAATCACCATTGGGAGAGTCTTGAGGAACTTGAATCGGGGGAGCTACAACAGGGGCTTGATCATCAAGGGCAGCACCCAAAGCTTCCCTACTACTTGCAATGTCTTGCCCAACGCCTGAAAGTGTGCCTGACTGCTGTTGCTCATCAAAACAAAGTTGCCCAGTAGCTTGAAGGGTGCTTGGCCCTTCATTATTGCACAAAGCAGAATTTTCGGCGCAAAAATCAGCACCTAAGGCGCCCAAATCAGCACCTCGAGTGAGAATCGGATCAGCCTGTGCTCCCAGGCCACTGCCTAGCTATCCCTGACAAACCTTGGACTGATTTTCAGCGCCCCTCGATGGAAAAATGCTGCTGCCCAGCGTTCCAAAGCCGCCCAGCGCAGCAGATCTGAAGCTGTCCGGGACAGCGGAAGCAGCAGCTAGGCTGCTGCCCAGCGCACCTGGGCTGTCCAGGACAGCAAGGCCAGCGCCCAGGCAGCTACCCAGCGCGCCTGGGCTGTCCAGCACAGGAGGAGCAGCTCCTAGGCAGCTGCCCAGGCCCCCAGCACGCGCAGAGCAGCCGCCCAGGCCCCCAGCGCGCGCGCGCGCGCTGCCCAGCTGCGCGCCTGCGCTGCGCTGCCGCGCGCCCAGCGCGCCTTCGCTGCCCAGCCTCCCTGCGCTGCCCAAGCCACTCCTCGCGCTGCCCATCTCCCCTTCGCTGTCCAACTTTTCAATTTCAGATCCACAGCTTTCTTCAACCTCCACCAATCCCTCTTCAATCGACATTGTCCACTTGAGAAGCTCAACTAGCAAGGAAGAAATCACACTCTTGAAAGGATTCAAGGAGAACACACACTTTGGCTTCAACAAAATGGGTAGGACTTGAGTTCTCAAAATTTTCAAGAGGTGGGTGCTCAACCTTAAGAATAAGTGAAATGGTAACATGAAGAAGAAGACTATATTTATAGTCTAGGGTTTTTCAAAAAGAGGAAAAAAGCCCAAATAGACTATTATGGGCCCTCTTCAAAATAAAGTAGGCAAATAAAAAATTATGGGCCCTCTTCAAAATAAAGTGGCCAAAAAGAAAGTTATAGGCCATTTTCAAAACAAAAAGGCTAAACAAAATATTATGGGCCTTCTTTAAAATAAAGTGGAAGAGACTTAAAAAAAAAAAAAAATGTAATCAATGCCTCCTTTCTCCAAGTCTCCTTGGACATGGGGCATTGGGGGGCAAATGATGGGTTAAGCCCAAATAGTCCAATTTATGTATTAAAGTCCAACCCCGGTTGAGGAGCCCAACCTCATTGTGAATCCACCAAGTCCAAGACAGTCCAAGGCCGGTTGGACTTCTTGCTTAGCACGTCACCAAGAGGAGAGCATGAGAAGTTTATCTGCACCAACAAAGGAAACGGTCCAAATCCACCAAGTCCAAGACAGTCCAAGGCCGGTTAGACTTCTTGCTTAGCACGTCACCAAGAGAAGAGCACGGGAAGTTTATCTGCACCACCAAAGGAAACGGTCCAAATCCACCAAGTCCAAGACAGTTCAAGGCCGGTTAGATTTCTTGCTTAGCACGTCACCAAGAGGAGAGCACGGGAAGCTTATCTGTACCACCGAAGGAAACGGTCCAATATTTGACCACGTTCCATGAAGAACCCACCAACCTCCTCCTTATGTTGAGGATAAGTCATGATCTCCACCAAGGATAATCTCTGAGCTGCGATAAAGAAGCCTTGAGGATATGTCATGATCTCCACGAGAATGATCTCTTAGCTACTATAAAATGACTCTAATCTGAGAGAGGAAAATCACGCCCCACCAGAGACTTACAGAAGACGAACCGACTACCAGAGATTACTATTTTCTTTGATTCTCCATTCTCTCTCTCAAAGCTTGTATCTCCATTCTCCATACCTTTGAATCAATAAAATACCCGGCAACTAAAGCCATTGAAGAGTGGACGTAGGTCGAATTGACCGAACCACTATAAATTGTGTCTTCTTCAGTTTTTTCATTGATTTCATTGCATTTATTATCTACACTTGACGGGTGGTGTGCAAAACCATTTTTGTGCATCATCAATTATATCCATAGTGGAAGTATATAGGCCAAAAATCTTTGGTTAGGATCCTAATTAACATATCCGAGATCATATTACCTTCAGTAAAACTCAACTTCATTATTAATTTTAACTCTGCCTAAAAATTATTGAAACGGGAATTTGGTAACAATTTCAATTCTTTCAAAGCCACTCAGCTTAATCAAGCAACTTATAAAAATTACAAACTCCATATCAATAAATATATACAACAAATCTACCCATGCACATACACAGAATTATGTAATTAATGAGGCTAAATAAGTACCAAAAACTTTTTTTTTTGTTTTCCCTCTATTTTGCATTATAAAAAAGAAAAAGGCTTTAAAGGAGAGTTGTCTCAAAAATTATGTTAACCCAAAGAGCACAAGATGATAGACCATTTATATTTATGATATCCCAAGCATAACAAAAAATAGAGAGATGGGAAGCAACAGAATGACAAAGCATATACGCCCAAAGAGCTTACTGAAAATTACCAATGTCAATAAGTAATCTGGGGACCCCATCATCAGGCAAAGCAAGAAGCTCCATATCTCTCTCCGACTGTTGAGCCTTTCAAACATAAATAAAAAACACATATATCATATTTCCACACACATTCATACTTGCATATACGCCTTGTAATTGCTATAAATCAAATTTTAATTCGATTTACCTGAATTTCGATGATGCAAGAAGAGGAAGTGTACTTGTGAGCTTCTTCATCGTTGTAGAATATCTCTGGCTGTGATTGCAGTTCCGGACGAGATGACATTTTTAATACTTCAATTCCGCTGGCAAAACCCTAACAAAGCTCGAGCACAATAAACCTCGCATCGCCAAAAAAGGGGAATGTATTCTCCGATGTGTATATGCACATGTATATATCCAAACTGGTAGTAATCTCTTAATTTATGTTGCTAATTTTTACTCCACTTCTTATATACACTAATATATATATTTGTAATAATATGTGAATATCTCACCACCCACTTAATTTCACATGCACTAACATATATAAAATAATAAAAATGATGTCACACGCAATCATCCTCTTTTAATTTTTTTCACGCTCAATCAATTTTTTTATTAATTAATAGTTACCAATCATGCACATTCATATCACATGCGAATCAGCTCCTAATAAATACTTTATATCATCATTATACATGTTTGCGTCTTACAAACAAGGCCAAGGAGAGAGAGAGAGAGAGAGAGAGAGAGAGAGAGAGAGAGAGAGAACTTATTTGACCAACTATTCACCCTTTTAGAGAGTTCCTAGAAGCTTGACAAAGGTGCGGAGGCTTCTGTTGTGTCTGCCTTCCAAAAATTGTCTGAGTTCTTTCAAATAGGAATTAGCTACTAGGATGCTAGTTTTGAGGACTGTCGACACCAATCCCTGTAATTGTTCCTAGATCTGGACCTTTCCAATATTAAATTGGATGTTACTGAGACTGGCAAGTTGCATTAGAGGAAGGGAGCTCTACAGAAGGCCAAGATTCATCAGCTATGGAGAATGGGGGTTGATATAGTTCGATAGAAGATCTGATTTCATCTTTTTTTTTCTTTTTTTTCTTTTGTTCTCTAGTTTTAGAACCTTTGTAATAGAACTCCTTTTGATATGAATGCAATCAACCTTGGTTTGGGAGTTTAGTTTGCAAGGTTCCCAACCTTAGAAGTGTTACTCTATACTGTTTCAAGAGTTTTCAACTGAGCTTTTAGTAATGTCAAGTGTCTTTTTTTTGGTGGTTAGCCAAGTTGATCCCCAACAAGCATCGGTGTGGCTAGGTATTTTGCTAGTAAAAGCAAAGTCCAAAGCTTTCCTGCCCTTTTCTGAGCTTGGGCGCCTTTTATATGGGATACCCTTCTTTTTCCACGTTATGATAAAGGTACCTCGTGTAGAAGCCTGGTTTCCTCAAGTTGAGCTTAGCCGAGGTTAAAAATTATTGCACATTTTAAAAATTCTTTGAGATTTATTGATCCTGACCAACAAGGAGACCGCTCGAGCCATGTCCAAGTTGCTCGAGCGGTCCCTGTAAGTTGTCTGTCATTTTGACAGATTGAGCAATCAACTTCCACCATTTGTCCCTTATGGCTTTCAACTACTTCTCCAGCCTCAAAATCATGCATTAATATATATACAATCTAAATGGAACAAAATGCATGGATGAATTATGGATTTAAAAAGTAATGCACTTCTTAAATTTAACACTAAATGCAAAATCATTAGTCATGAAAATCACATATGTTTAAACATAGTACATCCATCATCATTTTATTATCATCACATATTACTCTAAGGCATATTGAAGAATTTAGAACTCAATATTCATGCAACCTAGAGCAATGTCTCATCGCTTAGTTTAATTTCATTCACACGCATTCAAATATTATCAATCTTTTGATCAATTCATGTGTAAAGTGTTTGAAACCAAACTCTGATACAATTAGAATTCCTTTTATATCAAATCATTCACAAAGTTCTACATGAAATCCTAATTCATCATCTAAGTGTATATATAGTCAGTGAGTGAGTGTATTTTTCTTTTTGGACACTCCACTTATTACATCCCTTCTACTTATATGACTTCAATTAGCATGATTGTGAATTGCATATTTTACATGTTATACTTCTCAACATTTGTAGCATATCTCTTTAATCTTTACTTGTGAGCAAAGGCATTAAGCATATGCTACTCTCAACAATTCAAGTACAATTGACTCTAGCCATTTATTTTATGCCTTACATTTTTTATGTTTGACCACATTGGGCTCTTTTCTCATAATTGATTCTTTGTGTGACACCCCAAATTCGGGGGTCCTTTGTCACCCGTTGATCACACCATCAACCCACAAAAATACCCATGTATGTCGTATAACCTGACACCATGTCATCAAATCCCCTTTATCAGGATCGTTACCAACACAAAGTTTGGGTAGGGTTTCCCTTGAATCGGAGCACTCCTAAACTCATAACATGTGCACATATCAATCACTTGACCATTTCAAGGTCCAATCCCCTTCAATTTACACTTAATATTGAACCAATTACATCCTTTAAGTAAGAAGGCTCAAGGTTCAAAGGCTTGGAAAGTTATATTTAATTTTTTTGAAAAGTCTGAAAGAGGTACCGGTACCTCTTACCTGTGGTACTGGTATTTGAGCCTTTTGTCTATCAGGTATTAGTACCTAAATAACGAGGTACCAGTACCTGGACCTTTATTTATAGGTTCATTCTAGTTGCCAAGTACTGATACCTAGGTGACAGGATACCAATACCTGAGCCAACTATTTCTTCCAGTTGCCTCATGTTGCATTAGGTATCAGTTCCTTCTAATTTCCACATTCACCTTATTGGGATGATAATGTAAAGTAAAGTCATAATCCTCTTGGTACTCCATCCACTTGTATTGCCTCATGTTGAGGTCCCATTGTGTGAAGATGTTCTTTAGACTTTTGTGCCCAAAAACACCTCAAACTATTCTCTATGTAGATAGTGGTGCCATGACTTCAAGGCAAAGACAACGATCGCCAACTCAATGTCATGCGTGCGGTAGTTTTGCTCGTGGCCATTCAACTGCCGAGAACCATAAGCCACCATCCTCCCAGCTTGCATCAATACACATTCAAGTCCATCCTTGGAGGCATCACAGTGTATTGTGTACCTTTGTCCTCTCTACACAACTATAAGGATAGGAGCTAAAGTCAACCTCTTCATCAACTCATAGAATGCCCTCTCACACGAGTCATCCCATTGAAACTTAACTTCCTTCCTGGCAAACTGACTTGATCCGAAATGTGTACACTCCAGTGAAGGCGGTCAAGTTGAAGTAATAACCCGGTTAAGTTCGAAGTCGAATCCACAGGAAACTATGATTGGTGTTTTCAAGTAAGCAATAATAAAGACCAAGTAACTGGAAGTCTTGAGAGTTTGAAGTTGTGGGGTTTTCTAGATAGAATATAAGATTCCTTCCAATGGCTCTTTTTCTAGACAAAATATAGGATAAATTAGCAAAGATAACAACCACTCTTTAGTTCGAAGATCAGAACATGTAATTGATTATCCGATTTATTATGTTTGTGCTTTATAACTCAATTAACTCCAGTATCAACAACAAGTTAATCGAAAGATAAAGATGAACTGTGAGAATTAAGCACATGATTCTGATGCCTTTCTAGAAGTTTACAAGAATTGTCTGTGCCTAGACTTAATCTATCTACAAACAAGCAAGTATTTCTACAAGGCATCTAACCATGGCATTAATGGTCCATTCTTTGAATAAAGCGCAATAATGGTGGAGATCGAAAGGTTATCATGAAGAGCTAACCGGGGTGCTTGCCTTGAACCAACGGGTCTTTCTATGCAGGAGTCATTCGTATCATAGAAGGAGCCCTTGGTTATACAGAGTATCGTAGCTTTGCTAGATGGATTCAAACATCCAATGAGCAAGTGGAATATAAAGCATTAAAGGATAAAGGAATTGCACAAATATAACTTCCGGGTAATTTTTACATATTCATCACCTATTACGAAAGAGTGAATGAGGAACTACTCACTCTTCATAACTTTGATAAAGCTAGAAGAGTGAATGATACTCATCCCTCCAAGTAGAAGAGCTACTACGTGAAGCAAACTAAACAAAAAGCTTATATTCAATGAAGAATAAATGAATCACATTCCACCCTTCACGACTTTGGTAAAGCTCTAGAAAAGTGAAAGATTTTCACTCTTCTAAGAAAGAAGGATGCTCAAGCAATGGAAGTGAAATACATAAACAATAAAAGTAAAAGAAAGCTAGTTACTCTTGGAGGGTAGTTTCCTCAACCACAAGATGGAGGTTGCTTCCTTAACCAACAAGTGGAGGGTTGTTTCCTTAACCAACAAATGGAGGGTTACTTCGTCAACCAAAAGATGTAAGACAACCAAATATAACAAACATCTATGATTAATCAAAAATGAGTGGGAGTCAAAGCCTTCATACAAGCTCCTTACTAGTTCTTGGTGTAGTTTAAGCCTACAAACCAAGCTCTAGCTTCCTATTTTACAAGAGAAAAATTGCACACCTTAAGCTCCCTTAATGGGAGTATTTATAGGCAAGGAAAGGGAGGGGAAGCAAGAAGATAAGAGAGGATGAGTGAATAGTGTATGCCACCCATGAAAACCAACTACTCTGCAAGCAGTCTGTGGAGGACGTTCGAACGTGAATCGACATTTGAACGTTGTCTTCTATTTTGCTTTAAGGGCATTTGAACGTGTCTTTTGGTCTTGCTTTATAAGCGTTCGAACGCCAGATAGGGCCTGACCTTTTCCACTCAAGTGGTCTTTTGTGAAGTTCATTTTCACACTCTATACATAAGTCTGTTCTTCAAGTGATTCCAAGGGACGTTCGAACGCTGAATGGCATTCGAACGTGGTACTCAAGTGCTTCAGAGTCCTTCTCTATTTACTACAACACGTCATGTCTCATTAATCTGGCCTTCAATCAACTCAAGTGGACGTTCGAACGTTAGTTGGCATTCGAACATGGTACTCAAGTACCTCAGGGTCCTAGTTCTTGGCTGCAACACACTGTGTCTCAACAAGCTGGTTTTGTCATAGTTCAAATGAATGTTCGAACGTGAGTTGGCATTTGAACGTTCTTGCTTTGTTCCGAGCCTCTCCAATTTCATTCCCTAATGTGCTAGTGCGACATTCAAGTGTGACTTTTGTTGCCCTCGAGCCCTTGTTCACTTTAGAACCTGGAATATCCTTAGTTGAACTCTATCAAAGTACAA